CCGACGCAGCTCTCTATCTGGCGGCTCCACGGTTCCGAGTCAGGCCCTCGCCCTCGCCCCCTCCGCGCTGCCCGGCCTCGTGGAGAAGCTCCTTCCGGTCATCGGCCTCGTCCTCACCCTGCAGAGCACGGCCGACGCCAGCGCCGCCGCGAGTGCGGCGGCAGCCGGCGAGGAGTGGGACGAGGACGAGCCGCTCGACCCGACACAGCCCGCCCTCGAGCTGCTCAGCGCCGTCGTCCTCAAGCGCTGGCCCTGCGGCACGCCACTGCCGGCGGCGGCGGCGGGCGAGGCCCTCCCAGCGCTGCTGCGGGTGCTCGGTGCCTCAAGCGACCCGGAGGTCTTGCGAGTGGGCTGCGCTTGCCTTCGCCGCTTCGCACAGCGAGGCGCCCTCGGCGATGGGAGCGGCGGCCCCGCCGCCAATCTGCTGCCCCCCACCTTCGGCCGCATGCTGCGCGCGGAGCTCGGCGAGGACCTCCGTCCCTCCGCTGCGCGCCTCGCCCTCCCCCTCACCCTCCCTCGCTCCCCACCAAGGCGAGGAGGCCGTGCACCACTCCGCGCGCCTGTTCTGCGACCTGCTGCGCGGCCAGGCGGCGCCCGCGATCGCGCCCGCCCTCGGCGACCTCGTCGGCCTCGCCGTGGCGTGGCTGCGGCGCAAGACCCTCTTCGGGCTCCGCCTCGCCCTCCTCTCCTTCCTCGCGCAGGCCGTGCTCGCGCTCGGCGCGGAAGCGACGCTCGGCAGGCGCGCCACACACCGACGGAGCGCCGCCTCTGCCGCCGCCGTCCTCCGACCCCCCTCCCTTCCCCTCCCCGACAACAGGCTCGCCGCTGACGAGGCCGCGAGGCTTCCCCGACGAGGTCGGCCCGAGCTCGACGGAGGCGACACCCAGCCCGCGGTGCCGCTGGTGCTCCGCGCGTGGGTCGCCGTCTCTGGCTGCTCGCCTGTGCTTCGCGCTGCACGCCGCTCTCAGCCGTCCTGCCGCACCGCACAGGTCGATGCCATCCCGGACACCGCACAGCCGCCGGCGCGGCGGGAGCTGCTCGTCGTGCTGATGCGGCTCCTCACTGCGCCCGCGCCGCCCGCGCCGCCGCCGGCCGAGCTCTGGCACCTCTCGGTCGCGGGAGACGCGCAGGCTGCTCTCGCGGGTGTCGTGCTGTGGCAGCGCCGCACTTAGGGTTGAGCGCCCCTTATTCGCCGCGCGCAGGTTGATGCGAGGGAGGCGAGGTTGACACGCGCAAAGGCGCGCAGGATTCGGGAAGCTGGGTTAGGGCTACCACTTCCCCACCAGCCCCAGCTGCCGCTCTTGGTGCGCGCGTTCCAGCTGCTGGCGCGCGAGCTCGCCTGTCCTCCTGCCTCCGGCGCGGAAGGGCGAAAGGCGCGGCTGGCGTCGTCGGCTTGGGGCGCACTGGGCGGCTACGGCGTCGGCGAGAGCGACGAGAGCGACGTGACCGCGTCCGACGAGGAGGAGGAGGGCGAGGAGGGCGAGGAGGGCGAGGAGGGCGAGGAGGGCGAGGGAGGGGGCGCGCGGAGGTCTCCTTTTGTGCCCCTGGACGAGGTGAGCTCTCACGGCCTCGAGGCGGGCGAGGTCAACCTCTCCTCGCTGCTCGACTCGGATGGGGAGGACTTTGATGACGACCACGACGACGACGACGACGACGACGATCGCGCCGGTGGCGAGATGGGCGGCGGGGGCGGCGATGCGGACGGTGCTGAGGCCCTCAACCTTGGAGCGGAGTCGGCGTCTTTTGTGCGGTCGGTTGCGGCACAGCTTGGCCAGGGCCAGTTCGAGCAGCTCTGCGCACAACTGTCGAGCGCCGATGAGCGGAGGGCGGTTGCTGGCGTGTTGAGTTGAGAGTTTTTTAGTTTAGTGTTCACTGCCACTGTGTCTCCCGCCTCACCCAGTCGTGCTCTTGCGTAAGCGGTTAGTCTCTCTCTGTCGAACTCACCCGAAAACGATCGAAACCACGCATCGGAATCCCGGCGCGTCTTGGGGACCGCGGGGCGTCCTCATCGCAACCTGTCAGCAGTCCACCTCCGGGTATGTGAGCTGTGAGCTGTGAGGGTCCGCCCGCAGGCGCATTTTGGATACCGCGAGTCGGTGTGCCCGGTGCCGAGCCGCGAGCGGTGCCCATTACGGCTTTTTAGCCTGAGGGAAAAGGGTACTTTCTGCAGTTTCTCTTCTTATTTTCTGCTGGAGATGGAGCCTCCGGTGCTTTTACGCTTTTGATGGGGTCAGCGAGAGTGCCACCTTTACCGCTTTGGTCCTCTCGTAGCGCCAAGCTTTTACGACCAGGAAAGTGATCTGGCCCTGCGAGGGGGCGTCGCCACGCACCTTTGTGAGGTCGTGGTCAGGCACAGGCAGAGGAGACATAGATGGTGGCTCGAGGATGGTGTGGATGGAGGGCGGAACGACGCTCGGGGCAAAGGAGGGAGGCGGTGGAGAGGCGCCCACGCAGACCGGGCGGAGGCCACCTCTCGAACCGACCAACAGCGTGCTGCCGGTCGGGGCTGATGGACTACAACTCCTGTATGAAAGGCGCATTGTGAGTATGTGAGTGAGTATTCTTGATACGAAACCACGACGACACACACCAGTCGACTCGCATCGGTTGCCTCCATGAATGGCGGAGCTATTCTCGCGTCCACACCACACCTGGCTCCAACGTGGACACGCCCATAGCTGGGGACACTACTAGGTCACGCATGGCATCACAGAAGTTTTATCTCTGGGCGACTGGGCCCCGAAAGGCTTCTCTAGCAGCGTCGTTACGCATGCGCCCTCCCCTCCTGGGCGCAGGCGCCTCACGTCTCTCGACAGAGCATACGCCCTTGGCGTGTGACGAGACGAGTTCACATCAACGGCCGCAACAGCGCCTCAAAACAAAAACCCGATTTGCTGGTGGCTGATAGTCTGTGAAAAGGAACTCATCCTCTGAGGCGCCCGCGTCCCACCCCCGCCTGCCGTACGGCGCGGCGCGGCGCATCGCCCACCCCGCCACGGCTCGTTTCCGACACCCCGCCGCCACCCGGGGTGTACACAGCGTTCGTCGCGCGCAGACGTCGCAGACGCTGCGGCAGAGAAGAAATATCCGCACGCCGCCCCCGCGAACCACAGCCGCGCGCCCCGCTGCGTGCGGACCCACCCTTCGCCGCTGCCACCCTCGCCGCCGCCCAGCCCGCCGCCGTACACGCCCCTCAGCCCCATCCCACTCTCCCTTCTCCCGGCAATCGTTACCGCCACGGCCTGTTCACGGGTGCTCCCCCCCCGGCGCGGCGCAGACGTCATAATCAACAACATGGCGAAGTCTTCCACCTCCCCGAAGCCGGGCTCGCCCACCTCCATGACCATCACGAAGAACGGGAAGAAGTGACACCCTCCACACCCGCCCCGCACACGGCACACGCCCGCACACGCTCCCCCTCCCGCACGCGCCTTACTGCCGCTGAACCCTCACCTCCCGTCGCGCTGCTCCGCCCACGCAGCTACAAGAAGTTCGTGAAGTACCTCTCCAAGGAGCTCAAGGCGAATGGCAAGGCTTTCGATTTCACGATCGCGGGCGCAAAGTGGGCCTCGCAGGAGGAGGGCCACGAGTTCAAGTTCGAGTTCGGCGAGGCCTGAACGAGCGGCGTCGGTGTGAGAACGGGGGGGCCTGAGCCCACGGCGTAGCTAACGTGCGCAGAGCAAGCGGGCCGAGCCCCATCCCACTCGCCGCCCGCGCGTCGACGGGGACTGCCATGGGTGGTCTATGTTTCTGGTGGTGTCTTGTGCGTGCGCGACTCCGTAAGGGCCGGGCTCTCTGTGTTCGAGACGTCTGGTTCTCAGAGCAGCACGTCCTTACAACACCACGAGTACGCGCAAAATGGATGAATACCGACATCACACGCAAGGGTTCCCCACCGTACTAGCCCGTGGCGTGCCGTCGTCAGTGCAAGGCTCGGGGGCATCTCGATTCGCGCGCTCTCCAACCTGTTGCCGACAGCAAGCATCGGCCGGCTCGGCGCGTCGCAGCACCCCGCTCCGGCGTCCAACGCGCCCTCCTTCAGCGTCGTCTCGAGCGTCGCCGACTCCGTCTGGCGGCGGCGCCTCCCGCCGCGCTCGCATCGCCGAGGTGCTCAACATCATCTGCCAGGAGATCGGCACGATCTCGCTCCTCGGCGCCGCCGGACGTCTCCATGGTGGTCACGCGGCCTCTGGCTGGAACGGGATCTACCTCGCAAGCGAGTCACCCGGGCCGGCGCGCGTCTTCCGAGAGAAGGGCGGGACCTAGTAAGCCGGCCGGGCGTACGGAGTCTATACCCCGTGATCCCCTCTCATCGGGTGCGTCGGCCTTAGCGTGACAGCAGTCACGAAGACTGCCCGCCCTTAGCCGGTGGGATCAAGCCAGTACGCCCCCCACGGTTGAGGGGAGGACGACTGTCTCTGACGGCGAACCTCAGTTACGAGCCGCCCTCCCCTCGAGACGCGTGGCCAGTGCACTCGGGCCCCAGCGTGGGTGCACCGTCCCACACGCCTCACGCGGCCTCTGTGGCTGGAACGGGATCGCAATCGAGTCCCCCGGGCCGGCGCGCGTCTTCCGAGAGGTAGATTCGTAAGAGCGAATAGCCACACACACTCTCTTACGTACACTTGAGAGAGAGCGAGAGAGGGTACACACTGAGAAGCTAAAACGCAAAGCCGTACCTACACACTGAGAGAGATCTTCGATCGCCGTGCAAAGCTCGCTTCCGAGCTCTCACGCAGCCTTGGGCTCGAGCTTTACCTTTGGGGCCTCTATCTATAGAGAACACACACACGCGCTTCTCCCCTAAAAAGATACGTACAGTCGTACACTGAAAGGCTAGACGAGAGGACTAGCCCCACGGGGCTGACTGGGATCCGGAGGAGAGAGGTCATCCGGATCGTGCGTGTGGCGGGACGCTGCCGGGCACCTGCCTGTGGTTGCTGTCCTTCCTCCACCAACACACAGCGCTCCCGACGGGGACGCCATCACCCTGGCCCAGGGATCTACAAGGCTGTCTTGAGGTCCGACCCTAAAAGCTCGGCGCCGGGCACCCCTCGAAAAAAAATCGGCCTAAAAGTAAATCAAGGCGGCACAAGAGGACCAAGAGGACGCATCGACCCCTTTGGGCCCCTTCATCGATCCCTTCGTCGGATCCCCTCGAATGCAAGTCGCCGCGATCTTGTCCAAGAACGTGGGCTTCGGCATCTACGCGCTTGCCCTAGGTAGTCTAGGTGCTCAAGCTCAGGACTGGAGCATTCTTTCCGTGTGCTTCTGGGGTGAGCTTCTTCTTGACGCCGTCTTCCGGGAAATCCAAGAGTAGCTAGATGCTGCCCTGACCAAGCCTACGTTACGCCGAAACCAACACTGTACACGACCAAGGTCCAAGCACCTCGAACATCGAACGGCTCCGCCTTGGGAGAGCCCCCCTTGTCGTTGTCGCCACGGCGCTGATTTCGATCCGGCTATCTTTGACTCACATCCACTCTCCGACACTAGAGCCGAGTCTCAAGAGAGAGAGAGGGAGGGTTGATCGATATTAGAATGTCACACAAAAAGCAGTCTTGGCTCTCTTGCGGTTATAAGAGCCCTCACGGCTCACGCCACTCTCTTGCACCGCTCTTCCGCGTGTCGGGTTGTGACGAGGGGTGAGGGGACACGGATTGAAGATCCTCACACCAAGATCGTGCAGGGCGGGGACACATGTCCCTAAATCCCATCTCGTCTCAGTGTCAGAGTTTGTCCGTTTTACGGGGTGTGGACCCTGAGTTGACCAGGGGTTGTGCGCTGGGCCCTCCTGCTCGGCTCCAGCCAGTAGACAAGTCTTGTCATCAACAGAGTAGAAGGATCTGACCTCGGGGCCGATGTGACCAAGCGCTGGTAGCGTGGTTTAACCTCAAACCCATGGTCTCACAGTGTGCCGGCAGTCGCCAAGCAGTGTCGCTCACACAAGCCGCAGCACAAGTGACTGAGGGCCAGTGAGGGCGAGCCCATCGCTGTCACAGCTGTGGCAGCCGCACAATAGGCTGTGTCAACTGTGCAGAGTGTGTGAGCAGCAGAGGAGCTGCTCTCCAGGCTTCTGTCGCAAAGAGCTGCATGCCACCGAAAGTGCTGTCGAGGTTCGCCGAGCGCGGCGCAGGTTGAGGGAAGCCGCCACCGACGAGCGCGTTGGACTTTTCACTCCGGACAAAGACGGGTACACGCACACGAGCCGCGGTCGTGTACCCGTCTTAGGGGCGAGGCGCGGGACCGTCTGTGGCGAAGTGGGTCGCGTCCCTCGATTTCCTCAACTCACGGTCCGCTCCCTCTATTTGTTTATATTTATTCAGTCGGTGAGACACACTTTATATCTTTTCCTCCCGTGAGACCCCCGCGCGTAGAGTGTGCTTCCCTCTACAGAAAGTCGGCGATAGAGTCCACATAAAAGTCGGGCTTGATCTCATTCTCGGGCGAGAGCAGCTTCTCCTCGGTCGTGACCCCCGAGAGGGTGAGGCAAGAGAGGAGGCCGTTGTTTTGCCCAAACAGGATGTCCGTGTCCAGCCGGTCGCCCACCTGCGTAGAGACGGCGGGGTAGGGTGTGGGCGCGGGGCGGCGCGGAGCGGCACAGCATGGCACGGCGGCGGCGGTCGCCATGCAGATGCGGCCCCGCTCGATGCCGAACTTCTCGACCATGTAGTCGATCATCAGCGGCGAGGGCTTGCCGACGAGGGTCGGCTCGCGGCCGGTGCAGCCCTTGATGGCGCCGGCCATCGCGCCGTTGCCCGCCCACTCCTGCTCGAGGTGCGGGAGCGGCGCGGACTGGGCGGGGCGTCGCGCGGCAAGGAGGGGCGGGCGGGCGGCTGAGCGCCGCCGGTGGAGGGCCCCGGCCAGTGGGGAGCCCTCTCTTCTGGTGGTGGCGGAGGGGGGTGGCGGAGGGGGGTGGAGGAGGGGGGTGGCGGAGGGGGGTGGAGGAGGGGGGTGGAGGAGGGGATGCTCCTGCGCGTCGGTGAGGTGCGTCACTGCGTCGAGGTTGGTGGCGATGAACTCGCAGCCCGGGTTCTCGTTGATGCAGAGCTGCGCGTACTGGATCTTGTGGTAGTTGATCTCGCGGTCAAAGCCGACGATGACGGCGCCCACGTCGGAGTCGTGCGGCAGCGCGTACCTGCAGGCGCGTGCTGCGTCGGTGCTGGAGGGCGCACGACACGAGCCTGTCTGCACCGGAGGGGGGCAGCACCCGGACTTGAGTGCGATCTTCTTGCCCGCGTCGCTGCCGCCTGCGGGCGGAGAGATGTTCGGATGGCGCAGGGGCGGTGGCGCAGGCGCGAGGGGAGGGCGGCAAGTACGAGGGAGAGTGTGACCGTGGCGGCACTTTGAGCGGCAGCGGCTGCTGGACAGGGCAAGGGCGTGCGCCACGGCAGGAGAGGCGGGTACAGCCAGCGCGAGGGCGGAGGCACACCTCCGATCCACGGCACCCCGATCATGTCGAGCTCCTCCTCGATGCCAACCTCGCCGATGATGTACACCTTCTTGCCGCTCTCCTTGAACTTGGTCTGCCGCGTGCCGAAGGTGCGGGTGGGGAGCCAGGGGGGGGGAGGGGGAGGTGAGTGCTAAGGCAGGTGGAAGAGGGCCCTGCAGCTGCCTGCTCCAAGTAGGCGGCGGCGGCAAACGAGGAGGAGAAGATCTCCTCGGGCTGCGTCTCCTGGCAGGTCGCGGCGGCGGGGTGTGAGCAAGGTCTAGCATGCCGCCGCCCTCCTCCCTCTCCCTCTCCGCCTCTAGTCCGAGCGACTTGAACTTGCCGAGGTAGCCCTTCCTGGACTTGGTCGAGTTGTTTGTGACGAAGAAGACCTTCTTGCCCGCCGCACGCAGCATCGCCAGGACGGCAGGCACCTGAGCGTGAGGAACGCCGATGTATGAGAGGCCAGAAGCTATCTATGCGCGGGAGTGCGGGCCTTGTCGATGAGCGAGTCGCCCTTCCAGATGACGCCGTCGCAGTCAAAGATGAAGACGTCGACCTGCCGGTAAAGTGCGAGAGTCAACGTTGCGATGTGTCACACAGGCCACGTGCGGCTGCGAGCCTTCTCGAGCAGGTCGGCTGGCACGTCGAGCTTCTTGCACAGCCCAGCGTCCTTAAACGACACGGCGGCAGCACTGCTCTGCGCAGCGAGCGACGCGGGCCGCAGGCCGGTGCTTGCGGTTCTGCGGACCCCGGAGGCGGCAGCTGCGCCGAAGGAGAAGCCAGCAGCGGTTCCAGCCGCGGCTGAGAGCAGGCCGATCCGCAGCGAAGAAGAGAGGGACAGGCCCATTATCGAAGGTTGTACCAGTGCCGAAGGGCTGCAATACAAAATACCACCGCGAACGTGCCTCGCCGCCGCCGCCACCGACCGCCCTCCCCTTGCAGGGGGCGAGCCCCCGCTGCGCAGGTGCACTGCGCACTCCGCGCCCCTGACGATTAGTGAGGAGGTGGTGTTGCACAGCATGGAGCTCGGCGAGCGTTTAGCGAGCCCCTCAGCTAGTACAAAATATCGCGCGCTTCTTGGCTCGGGAGCCGACACTTGAGTACTGGCAATATAACGTGTGGGCCCTCAGCGGAGCTGGGAAGAGGACCGCCGCGAGCGGCGTGGCGTGGAGCGGTTGAGCATCCCTCCGGGGGCCCCTCTGCGCCGGGGAGGCGTTGTTGGAGGCTAGGACGCAAGCGTCCATCGCCCTTTTCAAACTCGGGGCCCACTCCGCTACGCTCCGACCCGAATTTGGAGGGCCTGAAAGCTTAAGGTGTTGCTGCGCAAAAGGGGTCGGACACAGGGCGCAGCTCATGCTAAGAGCTAGAAGGGGAGATGGAGAGAACAACCACCCTGGCGTAAATTCGTTCGCGGCGCTACAACCTATTGAGAGACGAATTGACCTATTGACGAATTGACCCGTTTAATGGTTAATATCAAGAGGAAGTGAGGATCGAGCAGGTCCAAGATGCACAAGAAATGCCAAGCTTATTTCATTTTTAATCCATCAACAACAAACAAACGCGGATCGTGGGTCGTGGGATGCGCTCGCGTGGTCTCTTGTGACATTTCTCTAACCGGCACAGCCTTGGGCACAGCATGCAGCCATCCACGGTGCATGGACCACGCCTGGGACCACGATCCAGCGGTGCAGCGGAGCCGCCGAGCCGGGGACGCCTCCCCCCTTTGCCCCAGACGGGAAACCATGCGAGTGCGTGTCGTGCGACGTGTGAGATGAGAGGTGTGTGTCTGTGGTTGCGCTTGTGTGTGTGCGCGCCCCCCCGCGGGGTTCGGGCCGTCGAAACCTCGATATATCTGTGTGCCTTCTGATCTGTGTTAAATTCTGAGATCTGAGAAAACCGCTCACCTGGCCTCGACACCTCGACACCCGGGCTCAGCTTCCAGGGCCGCGGGGACACATGTCCTTAAATATCCATCCCATCTGGTTGTCTCAGAGTTTGACCGTTTTATTTCTTTAACTTCCACAAAGCTACAAACAACGATCAGAACACACAACGATCAGCGTGTCGCAGTTGGTGTGTGCTGATCGTTGTTTGTAGCTTTGTGGAAGTTAAAGAAATAAAACGGTCAAACTCTGAGACAACCAGATGGGATGGATATTTAAGGACATGTGTCCCCGCGGCCCTGGAAGCTGAGCCCGGGTGTCGAGGTGTCGAGACCCGGTGTGCGCGTTTCTCTGTTCTCTGAGATTTTCACAGA